GCCTTAAGAGACTTGGTGCATGTTGTTATTATAGAGCTATTGTAGCGTCCCCGGTTGATTTGACTGGTCATTCGAAACTGATGGTTCACAACTTTATTGTTTCTTTGGTTTGTGAACAACACCGTAAGAGCTAAAAGAATTCACACATTTAACAATTAGAAAACTTACAGTGAGACACATACAAACTCTATTTAAACCCTTAATTCATTACCATATCCCTTAACTTATTCCCTTTTTTATTACCTTAACATTCCCTTACCTTTAATTGCTTAATAATTATCATATATGTTGTAATCAAACTGCTTCAAATTACCCTTTGTTACAACAGAGCTGTTAACGACCGTTTTAACGCCCTCTAGTGGCCAAAGGTAGCATACAACTAACCTAACGGTAAACAAAAACGTTACATATTATCACAGGAAAGAGAAAATAATATTAATAACATTAAACGAACCTTGTTCCCTCATCAACCAGGTGCAAAGGGCTGAAACAAACCATAAAAAAACCTTGACAGAAAACTTTCAAGAACCAAGAGCTGTAGCACACAACTTTTGGTCCAACTGCCACTTTCTTCTCCCGTTGCTAGGCAACAACCTGTGGCCATGCACAACAAAATAAACTGTTGATCATACAATAAGTAAGGGATAACGTATATTACGCAGGTCATTATCGGAAAATAAGTACCGACAGGGCGAAGCGGTTTGTTCCGGGTTTTTCGGGATCGCCTTTTCTCGCATTACATCAGTGTTTTTGTCATGAAAACGTAAACGGAAAATTCTTGTACTAATGCACTTGCACTTGTATTAAGACTGGATATGTATAAATTACTCTCCGATTAACATTTCATTGCGTTGATTGATTGGCATTTGCGTTTATTGAGTGGCCGGAACTACTTCCGGGTTTTTCACGATCGCTTTTTGACGCAGAGAAATAGTATTTTTGTCATGAAGACAAGACCAGAAAATTCAGAAAATTTCCGTGCACGTGTGTGAAGAATGTATATGTATAAGTATTCTCCGATTAACATTTAAGTGTGTTGATTGAGCGTGGCTAGCTCCGGAGTGGCCGGAACTACTTGCGGAGTTATCCACGCATTTGAAAGACAAGCAGAGAGTTGCGTTTGAGAGGTCCGTTATAGAAAATAATGACCCGTAGAGTTTTAAAGTTACATTCAAATCAATGGAGCATTCTACTGCTGCTGTGAGGAGCCGTATAATAAATAATAGTAATAAATAATGGAAAAATATTAATTAAGTCATTTACAGCCATGATGTAGTTCAGAGCATCGCTTTGACAGTTTGCTTTGTGATCCGCGGGACTGCGGCCGTTCTCGTCTGTCTCTGTGTGGTACGTCTCTGTGCACGTTCGTGATGTACATGTGTCTGTCTCTGTGTGGTATGCGCGTGTGTCTGTCTGTGGTACGTCTCTGTGCGCTTATGTTTTTGTACATGTGTCTGCCTGAGTGTGTGTGTGTGTGTGTGTGTGTGTGTGCGCGTCTGTCTCTGAGTGCGTGATGTGCAGCTTTTCTGTACCTAATTATAGCAAATTTTCATATGAAATGGAATTAAAAATGTCATTTTAATAAAGACTTTGTTTCATAAAGTCATATCTGTGTCAGAGCTTATCTGTGGTGAAATCAGACACATTGATGATGCTTGTGGAACACGTTTTCCCCCCTTGATGCAATGCGCCAAATGCACGCGTGTGTAGCTTTCATGCACGTGCACAGAGGGGCTCGGCCGCGCTTTGACCAATCAAAGCTGCAGAGCAGAGTCAGAGCGGGAAGGAAATCAGAGTTTGTGGCAGTAAAGTGTGGATTTAAAGAAAACGAAGGATTTAAGAAGAAAAAAAGTTCAGGATGACAAGAGACACACAAATCCCGACAAAATCCGATATTTCTGAAAGCTGTAGGTTCTCTGTCAGCTGAGGTCGAGCTGTTTTAATTTACATTGAGTTCTCTGGGACTTATTTCTGGGTAGCCCGCGTGAATTTAGTTTGCAGTGGTGGGACAGCTTTAAGCTAGTAATACCCTATCCAGTTATTATAGATCCATGGTCCCCGTACATATGGAATATGTAAGTCGGTGGAGATATAGTCTCTTCACTCAGAGAACATGGTTACATACTGTAACCGTAACGATTTAAATATGACTTAAATCTTGTAAAGAATGATTTAGTTATGACTTTAATCTCAAAGTTTTTATTTTTTTATTTTTTCCTAAATGTAACCCTAATGCTCCGTCTTAAATCGTACATTGGGCTTGTCAGAGTGAATTTGAGACCATATAATAGATGCATATTTCTAGAGATATTAAGTTAATCACATGTATCATTGCACTATTCTGTAATGATGTAATCAAAAATAGAATACATTTGCTTCTGCTTCCGGATAAGTTGCTGTCCTGCTCCTTTACTGCTGAGCAAGGTCGGTCCCAGATGCGTGTTTGAAGCAGCTTGACTCTCGCCAGACCCTTTTAGTTCCGCCATGTTCCACCAGAGGCGTTTCGCTGAACACAAGGGTCCGGTATCAAGGCCAATGCAAACTATAAGTGCTGGACTCCACCGGCCGCGTCTCCGTAGGCTGCTGCCCGTCAGACGTCCGTAAAACGGATTAGTGGCCACACCGGCTTCAGCAGCGCGTAGCTCTGGCTGTGCGTTTATCAGCACCCCGTGAGGCTTTGTTTTAGATAGAAGAAGCGGTGTGTGATTTGCATGAGCTGTGGCTATGAGCGCGCCTCGAAGGTAGACGAGGACAGAGCAAGAGCAAAAAGAGCGAGGTGTATGTAAAGTGGTTTCCTGATCGTATATCAACCATTTATTATTTGCGTAATGTTAAGCTTATTAACATTACGCAAATAATAAATGGTTGATAATACGATCAGGAAACAACTATTTCAGTTTAATACATGAAAATAAATTACACACATTTGTTAATAATCATTGTCATTAACAAACACTTATAACCAAGGACCACAGCATATATCAATACATGTATAATAATGTGATACATATATTTAGGTCGAGCCAATACGTAGTATTGGGGAGGCCTATTGTTATTTGGTGGTTTCATATTATTCTTTTTCCTCCGAAACGATTCGATTTTTGACCCTGAAGACATACACGAAAGTCTGCACATGAGGGGTCTAAAACAACCGGTTCGGCAAAACATTTGATAACATTTGGCAAAACGTTGGTTTGCCACGGCTTCTTGTGCGTGTCGCACGGCAGCCGAAGCAAACCAAATGTACCGAATGTAATTTCATAACGTTCTACCGGTCATTATTTCTTGATAACCAACCTCTCAAAACAATAATGACCACTGGCCATGGCAACGCAACCTCTGCTAGTAATTCAGATGTGTAGATTACTCCGAAAGTACTACCGGCCACTTCGTCGCTACCACGGTCTCTGCGAGAGACGCTAACGGAGCTAGCCACGCTCAATAAACGCAAATACCAATCAATCAACACATTTAAATGTTAATCAGAGAATACATTATACATATACATTTGTAACACAGGTGAACAGCAGTTTTCAAAATGATCTGTCAACGTTTTCATGACAAATATACTGTTTTAATGCGAGAAAAAGATATTGCGATAACCCGGAAGTACCTTACGGGACATCTTAGGACACATTTGCAGAGGATGGAATTTAGGTTGAGTTTATATTTGGGTCACTCACCGCTGATGTTCAGAATTCTTTGTTCAGTTTTCATGCAGTTGAAGAGAGTTGGAAGTTGCTAGCCTAACTGTTACTCACATAGCCACGGGAAAACCTTTGGGAACTATTTTATTTGCAGTCATTAAATAATCCTTTCGGCATTCATGAAAGTGGACTTAAGTTTATCTTGTCTATTCTGTTGGTACAAAGCCGTATAATAAGCGGGATAATGTATAGTGGGCAGGCCATTATCGGTACTTATTCTCCGATAATGACCTGCCTTAAAAGTACTGGGGTCTTTTATACCAGACAATACTACATCTCAATCCTCTTATAACTTACGTCATAATGATCAATTATTTTTTTCAGGTTTCTGTAATTAATAAGGAAATTGGTCTTAATTCATTCAAATTTAAAGCACCACATGATTGGAATAGTCTGCCTCTAATTCGATCAATTAGATCGATTCGCTTATTTAAATTGGCAGTTTTTGAATACTTTCAAATAATCTGTTCTTGTTTTTGATCATACATGAAATAACAAATCTTTCTTCGAAAAATGGGTATTATGATTTCATAGTGTCCCATACACACAGTTTGGGATACTAAACCCGGAGGAAAACATTCAAAAATAATAGGTGTGTGTGTGTGTGTGTGTGTGTATGCGTGTGTTTTGTTTGTACTTTTTATTATGTATTTTATATACTGTGGGACCCCCTTGCAAATGAGATGCTGCATCTCACGGGGCTATCCTTTTTTTAAATAAAAATAAATAAATAAATACTAAAGACAAGATTAATCTTCCTAAACTAATGACCTGTCTACTATACATTATAGTAGGCAGGTCGTTGTGTCCTTAGGCAAGACACTTCACCCCCATTGCCTATAATGAGTCTGGTGTGTGTGTGAATGGTTGGTGGTGGTCGGAGGGGCCGATGGCGCATACTGGTTGCCTCGCTCCAGGGCAACCAGGGCAGCTGTGGCTACAGTAGTAGTTTATCACCACCTTGTATGGAGTGAAAGAATAATGACATGTACAGCGTCTTTGAGTGTCCAGAAAAGTGCTATAAAAAAGCAATTTATTATTATCCCTTACATATGAATCACTTATAGTGTGATATAGTTTTTTGCCATATCGCCCAGCCCTAGTATATCCAATCACATACAATGATTTTTTTTACAAGGCCCCGCCTTCTGACATACATCTCTTATTGAGAAATTCCAGACCCTTGTGTGAAGCTCAGCGAACTACAAGGGTCTGGCGGGAGTCAGGCTAGGTTTGAGGTGCCACCTCAGACTGTCTTTTCATTCACCTTAATGACTCTCCCTCTGTGTGCAGCTTACAAGCGTCTGGACGGGACAGTGGACTGCTGCAGTAACAACAGCCTCACTGACCTGTGCTTCTCTTACACTAAATCCCAGGGTCGAGGCGTCCGTGACAAAGAGGTGACACATGGGAAATATCCTACATTTTAAATGTATTATTTCATTGATTGTAGAATTTCACTACAAGTTTATTGCACTAAAGTGAGGATTTATAGAAAACCGATGGATTTAACAAGAAAAAAAAGTTCATGATGACAAAGGAGAAATGTTACTTTTAAAAAGTGACTCTTTCCGTTACTACTTTTAAAAAGTAACCTGTTATTTTACTCGTTAGTTTTTTGTTACTTTTGTGTTACTGTTATGCAGAACTGTTCTTAAATTTGTTATGGAAGTTCTACTATGAAGATAATTCTTTCATGCTTTTCATTATCAAAAATGCCACAGCATGTACACACCACAATTAAACAACAGCACCATCATTGGTTTAATGAAGCCTTTCCACTGGTGTGCTGGACAGTGTAGCAGTGTTGTACTGTATTTCATGAACACAGCTCACTCAGTGGAATTTGTTTAGGACCTCTAATGGGGCGTTCAGAACGGATCATGCGTTGCGGCGACTTTCAATGCTAAGTCAATGGTGACGTCCGTTCAAGCATGGAATTGCATGTGCGTCGCGGAATGCACGCACGGACTGCGTGGCAGAGGCGGCTTTGCGGCAACTTCACGCAGTCAGGAGATGGGCATTGTTAACGTTTTTCTGCCGGTCGCATGTGCAGTGACCAATCAGAAATCCGCAAAGTGGCTTTCTGATTGGTCGGAGCAGACTGAATATACTCGCAAACAGTCAAAACAGGAGCTGAACGGGAAGCTGATCCGGGAGCCGAACCGGGAGCCGGTGCTTGTGAACATATGCTTTCAGCCTGCGTTCTCATTCTCCCGTGCCTGTAACAAGTGCTGCTTAAAGTTGCAGCGGATTGAAAAATAAACGGCATTGCAATAGTTAACGCGTTACTCTACTTTCCCCCGGGAGAAAAAAGTTGTTTCGCTAGTGTAACGTGTTTTGCTAGCCTGGTCTTAGCCATCCGTACACTTCGCTCAATCATCATTTCACTGCATGTAACGTCTGGGTCTGGTCCCCGGGTTAGCGATTACAATGGGTTGAATTTCGACCGACCAACCAGCGAGTGCGGAAGGAGAGTGTTGTATTTAGTTGTGGGTGACGTCAAGAGTTTGCGTCCAACGGGAAGGTCTTAATTTGGCAATGGCAAAAAATGTGATAGTAAAGTAATCCGGTCTGGTTCTATCAAGAAATTGAAGCCGGAGCAATAAGAATGTTTAGCAAATGTAATCGCTAGAAAAAATTGTGCCGCTACTCCCCACGGGTTCCGTCAGCAGCAAAGGAGATGGCTATGCTAAATGCTAACGACTCACTCGGGCGTATTACATACTGTACGTCACGATCAGACTCAGATCCAATCGTTTCAATCTGCAAAAGGAGTTAACCTCTCCTATCTGTAAACGGAGCTCAATGGAGCACCTCCAGACCTTAGTACGAAATGTAATTTGTACTATGATGTGGTACGACCAGGCTAGCGTTTTGCCAGTCTAACTTGTTTTTTGTAACGCGTTACAGCCAACACTGCTTGTATGTACACTTGATGTTGTGTTTCCTCAGTTCGCCTGTATGCCGGTGCGTAAGATGGTGATTGGGACCAGCGTGTGCCGCACAGACAAGGACTGTGCGGAGGCAACGCTCTCCAGCGTCTCCAGAGTGTGTGTGACGCCCTCGTTAGAAAACCAGACCCGATTCATCAGAGTGACCCACCCCCCACATTCACACATGCTGTTTGTGGGCTATCCTCCACACCTGCACTACGCTGGTATGCACCGTGTGCAGAGTAAATGCATAATGCCATGTCTTTGAATAATCGCAATAGCTTTCAACTAAGTGGATAAAACAAAAGGGCTATAATTATTACAGAATTCTTTATTTCTAATCCAACAACCAATTATGTCACAACTAGTCTCTATGGACTGCTATTTGGTCGATACCGGAAACCCGATACCGGTAACCGATACCCACATTTTAATTTTATATTGGCATCACAAGAGCAGACAGCTATGCTGTGTAGTGTTGCCATGGTGATCTCCCAAAGTCGGCTGCGAGAAAGCAAGCTAGCGGCAAGCGCGCAGGATGTCGGCCATATGGAAGTTTTCTAAAGTACACTAGAGTGAAGCTGACTGTATGTTGTGTAAGGCAAAACTGTCACAAGGTAGGTCCAAAACAAACACGCATAACACCAGAAACTTGATCAAACATCAGAAAACTCGCCACCACTCGTGGTATAGCACCGGGGCACAAAAACAACCAACTCAACAACAAACAAGAAAAGATGTCAAGCGACAACCCACAAGCAATAAAAAGTGCAGATTGTATCGCTCTTGATGACCAGCCACTTTCATGTGTGGAGAATGTTGGCTTTAGACTTTTGAATTAACTTGAGCCTTGGTATGAAATACCCAGCTGCCACTTTACAGACTCTGCTTTGCCTAAGTTGTAGAGATGGTAAAGAAGCACATTTATATAGATAGATAGAAACTTTATTAATCCCCCTAGGAGAAATTCAGGTGTCCAGTAGCAGCAGAAACAAATTGATCATTCTAAAAAGCTAACAATAGTAATAATAATCAACAGCAATTTAGGTCACATCAGCAGAGGTGGTGTAGCCTCTGTGTGGAGCAGGACAGGTCATAGCAGCAGAGGTGGTGTAGCCTCTGTGTGGAGCAGGACAGGTCATAGCAGCAGAGGTGGTGTAGCCTCTGTGGAGCAGGACAGGTCATAGCAGCAGAGGTGCTGTAGCAGGGTAGGTCACGGCAGCAGAGGTGGCGTAGCCTCTGGATGGAGTTGGACAGGTCGCAGCAGCAGCAGTGGTGTAGCCGCTTGGTTCGGACCATTATGTCTACTCCAGTCCAAAGTAAAATGCTGAATGCTTCATTAGCATTTTTCAAAAAGTTCTACCAGTGGATTTTTGGCTGATCCGCTTGGTTTGGACCATGAATCCTCTCTGGTCTTGTCTGGACCAGTGCAAAATCATGAGCACTGTACTTCAGCAACATCTCAGGCGGAAAAAAGTAAGAAAAGCAAAAAAACAATTGTAAAATACAAAACAACTGTTTTTAGAGCTACTTAGGACTTACAGGGAATTTACACAGTAGGCGTTAACAGTGCGTACGCGTTGATTGCGCATACTCGGCTGTATGTACACTGGCCGTGTGCGCAGGTCCGCGGCTTCTGATGCTGTCCTTGTGTAGTCTATGGAGCAATGTAGAGGACAGTACGGGCCAGAGGACTGATGTAGAGCAACACAAATCGCATGCATGCGTTTGTCTTCATGGTCTCTGTGCGCTGGTTTGGCCAGACTTTATGAAAGAAAAAAAAACAATGTCCAAAAGCACTGTAAAACCTGCCTATCCTCCTGCTAAGGTTTAGATACAAGTGCTGTGTGTGTGTAGATGCGATCCAAAGCCAAGGGCTTTGGAAATTCATCCTAAATTAGGCGCAGCCTCTCGTCATACGTCTGTCGTACGTCTGTCATACGCGCGTATGACACTAGTAGTGTAAATATCCTCATTGGTTAACATGGAAAAAATGTTACGCGCGTCTGCTGCGCGTATTACGCGTACGTGCTGTATTCAAAAGATAATTGCTTAAAGAAGAAAGCATTTTCTTATTGTTGAAATCAGAAATTAAACATTTTTAAATTTCTGTTATTAGTTTTATGAATCCCCAGGGACACATTCAGTACTCGTATCTGCAAGTTCTCAAAATAAGGTACTCATTCTTGTGTCTGTTTTGAAAAAAAAAATGGTATTGGTGCATCCCTAGATCAAATGCAGTACTCGTATCTGCAAGGACACAAATTAAGGTACTCATTCTTGTGTCTGTTTTGAAAACATTGATATCGGTGCATCCCTAGATCAAATGTATTAAAAAAAATCCCTTATTTGGCTTATTAAAAGTAAACAACAAATCAACTATCAAAGCAATCCTAAAATCAATGCATTATTATTAAATCTCACAATTGGTTTTAGTAGCCATGTTAAGGTTCATTACTACCAAGAACAAATGTAGTTTTTAGTTACTTGTTCTAAAGCAGGGGTCTCAAACTCAATTTACCTAGGGGCCACTGGATGCAGAGTCTCGGTGAGGCTGGGCTGCAAGAAAAGATCTCTGAAATAAAGTATTTTTAAATGTCTTAATTTTGATTTTCAACACAAATTATAATACAAATAAAAATGATATGAGTTAATGAGATGATTTTATATATATATATATATATATATATAAAATCAATTTTTTGTTCTAGTAGCTTTGCTCCCGGTATCATAGTAACATAGACAATGTTACTATCTACATTAAATACTGTTTTTTTTTTTTTTTTTTTGCATAGTCTTCTCGCTCATGGTTACTAAAATGAATAATTTCTATTCATTTTTACGGCACATGGCGCCGTAAAGATGGCGCCGTGGCAAGAGCTCTGGTGTGTGTCAGACTGTCTGGTGCACACCGGGGTAGTCTTGCACAGTTTGTCCTATGTGGTTTTACTGCAAATGGCAAATAAATGAATCTGAATCTGAATCTTATAAATGCGCCCCTAGTGTTTGGTTTCTGTTTTGCATGTTGTATTACTTTGGCTTTAGAGCACATAAGCTATTGTCAAAGCGACACGGCAACCGCATGCACTTCATTCAATTTGTTCCCTGTCTGTCAGTGTCATGGATCTATGGTCAGTGTGTGTTAATGACCAGAAAGTAAGTGCAATGTGGGATTTGTTGGTAGATATGCGTCTGCTTTAGCAATATGTCAGTACTTGACGCTGCAAGCGCAAAGGCTCATAGGAGATCAAGTTGATGTGAACCATGAGTGAGATGTATATCTCCATACATAACAAAAGTACCACTAATAACTCTTCTGAGTATATCAGCGATGCATGTTTCACATACAAAGCTTTCAAGTGCCGTTCATGAAAAAATCTTGTGGACCCCTCTAAGGTTTCACTCACATATCGGACAACTAAACACCAAATCAAATTTATTGAACTCATAATCTACATAAATATTTCTTATAGTGCTATCTACATGTCCTGGACATTTTAGTGCAAATTAAATAAGATCTCACTTTTGAGCCTAAAACCGTCTGTCGTGCCCTCCCTACCTTTTTGTTGGCACTACATTTGAATTTTGTGCCTGGCCTCTCCATTGGCTATCGTGTGATGTGCGTCTCTCTGCACCTGTGATAGAAACCCATCCAACTCTCACACGCCCCAGTCGCAGGTTGATTTAATATTACATTACATCAGTTGACCGCCACAGTTGTAGCTTTACAATTATCTTAGTGCAGAGGTGTCCAAACCGGTCCAGAAAGGGCCACTGTGGCTGCAGGTTTTCTATCAGAACCAGCAGCAGAGCAGAGCAGACTCCACCCATTTCCTCAAGTAAGCTCAGTCTTAACCTGAAGATTTGAGGAAATGGGTGGAGTCCGCTCTGCTCCTGCTGGGTCTGATAGAAAACCTGCAGCCACAGCGGCCCTTTCTGGACCGGTTTGGACACCCCTGTCTTAGTGTGTACACAAGGGTGGAATGAGACTTTTTAGTGTGTAAACTATTGCTTTAAGCAGCAATGACAACTGTCTGTTTATGTGTGTTAAAAGCGAGCTGTCAATTACAGCCCAGATCACGCCCAACTCTAAGCCCCCCCTCTTGTCCCCTGGTCCTCCAGGCAACGCCCTTTATAGAGAAGATTCTCAAATGTTCATGTGGCCGGAGTAAGGCTCGGCACAGGTGTTTAGTCGCTCTTTAAGGTGCCGACCAAAGAATAACGGCGCGCAGGCCGCAATTGACTCGCAGGCCGCGTCTCTTAGACCTCTGTTCTAAAGCATTATAGTAAAAGGAATGTTTACATAATGGCACAAGGACGCTCTTTAATGGTAATAAATTATCTGTAATGTCTTGTATTGTTTGTTTGATGCAGTGAGTCTGACCAACTTTGTTCCTCGGTTTGGATTCCTGCACCTGGACCTGCCTGTGTTCCTGGAGACATTCTGCAAGTATCCTTTCAACTGGCGTGATGAAAGATGGGAAAATGTGTTTTGATTCTATTTCTTTGCTTCTCACCGCTGCAGATGTTGTGGATAAGATAAAGATGCCAACATTTCACTCTTTAACTGCATCTCATGACTAGGGTTGCCGAGATTTAATGTTTTTTATTATTGCGATTGTAAAAGCCTGCGCGGTAGGTTAGCCATAAGGATTTTAGATGGCACGATTTACCTGCGGTATGGAAAACTCTCCCACCAGGTGCAGTACTGGCCGCTGCACACGGAGCTGCGCAGTCACCATTAAATTGAAGATGGCAGGACAGGCTCCCCCAGAGTTATATCCACCACGACTTAACCTATTAAGGTCTGACACACCTGGTAAAACAGACCTGTAAAACCTATGGCTGACTTTAGACCCACCCTCTAAAACCTGAAGTTTTTCTGAAATTCAACTTATTATTTCGGCCTCTGTGGCAGATAGAAACATAATATCAAAAGAATTTGAGAGCTGACACTTGTGGTTTTCAATAAGTGCAGTGCATCATTATACACCTTCAGTAGAATAATAATATATATATACAACGTCCACACAGGAAAGGTAATAAAAAAAACAAAAATAATGTGAGAAAATGTTTCTCAATACAAAGGTTGAAAGGTCTCAGCAAGAAGGCTTCAAACATAAAGATATAAAAAATATTTTTTGTCAAGAATCAACAAGTGGGACACAATCGTGAAGTGGAACGAGATTTATTGGATAATTTAAACTTTAACAAATAAAAAACTGAAAAGTGGGGCGTGCAATATTATTCGGCCCCCTTGCACTAATACTTTGTAGCACCACCTTTTGCTGCAATTACAGCTGCAAGTTGCTTGGGGTATGTCTCTATCAGTTTTGCACATCGAGAGACTGGAATTCTTTCCCATTCTTCCTTGCAAAACAGCTCGAGCTCAGTGAGGTTGGATGGAGAGCGTTTGTGAACAGCAGTCTTCAGCTCTTTCCACAGATTCTCAATTGGATTCAGGTCTGGACTTTGACTTGGCCATTCTAACACGTGGATACGTCTATTTGTGAACCATTCCCTTGTAGATTTGGCTTTATGTTTTGGATCATTGTCCTGTTGGAAGATAAATCTCCGTGCCAGTCTCAGGTCTTTTGCAGACTCCACAACAGGTTTTCTTCCAGAATGGTCCTTTATTTGGCTCCATCCATCTTCCCATCAATTTTAGCCATCTTCCCTGTCCCTGCTGAAGAAAAGCAGGCCCAAACCATGATGCTGCCACCACCATGTTTGACAGTGGGGATGGTGTGTTCAGGGTGATGAGCTGTGTTGCTTTTACGCCAAACATATCATTTTGCATTGTGGCCAAAAAGTTCGATTTTGGTTTCATCTGACCAGAGCACCTTCTTCCACATGTTTGGTGTGTCTCCCAGGTGGCTTGTGGCAAACTTTAAACAAGACTTTTATGGATATCTTTGAGAAATGGCTTTCTTCTTGCCACTCTTCCATAAAGGCCAGATTTGTGCAGTGCACGACTGATTGTTGTCCTATGCATCAGAATCTCCCACCTCAGCTGTAGTTATCTGCAGTTCTTCCAGAGTGATCATGGGCCTCTTGGCTGCATCTCTGATCAGTCTTCTCCTTGTTTGAAATGAAAGTTTGGAGGGACGGCCGGGTCTTGGTAGATTTTCAGTGGTCTGATACTCCTTCCATTTCAATATAATTGCTTGCACAGTGCTCCTTGAGATGTTTAAAGCTTGGGAAATCTTTTTGTATCCAAATCCGGCTTTAAACTTCTCCACAACAGTATCTCGGACCTGCCTGGTGTGTTCCTTTGTCTTCATGGTTCTCTCTGCGCTTTAAACAGAACCCTGAGACTATCAAAGAGCAGGTGCATTTATACGGAGACTTGATTACACACAGGTGCATTCTATTTATCATCATAAGTCATTTAGAACAACATTGGATCATTCAAAGATCCTCACTGAACTTCTGGAGTGAGTTTGCTGCACTGAAAGTAAAGGAGCCGAATAATATTGCACGCCCCACTTTTCAGTTTTTATTTTTTTATTAAAGTTTAGATTATCCAATAAATTTCGTTCCACTTCACAATTGTGTCCCACTTGTTGTTGATTCATGACAAAAAATTAAAATTTTATATCTTTATGTTTGAAGCCTGAAATGTGGCCAAATGTTGAAAGGTTTAACAATACTTTCGCAAGGCACTCTACAATAAAATCATGTAAAATGACGATCTTAATTTTTCCATTTATTGTTTTCCAGCAAAAAAAATCTGAGTTGATTTTCTTTCATAATGTTGATAATTGTGAATAATTGTAAAATCACAATATTTTCTCTCACAATAATTGTGACTCTATAATTTGAAATTGTGGCAACCCTACTGGTGACATACAGTACAAGAGAAATATCCAGATTATACAAGTCTATCTAGACGTCTCAATTCAATTAAATGTATTTAGTATAGCCCCGTACTTCTCAAATAGTGGGGCCCGCCCCCCTGGGAGGGCCGTGGTGCAATGCCAGGGGGCAGCGTGTGACCCCGGGCAACATTCTTTTTAATGCCATACTTAAATAAAGTGTAATTGTACATCCACCACATTAGTTCACAGTGACGCTCTCGTTGCCTGAGTTAGTCTATGGAAGCATTAGGATAGAGTAGTCCTTCTATAGTGGGCGCGCCCTCCCCCCTCACTGTTTGGGGGGAATGTGCATAACCGCGGGAAACTTGTTGTTTTTCCTGTACAGGAAAAACAACAAGTTTCCCGCGGTTGTTTTTCCTGTACTCCACGTACAGGAAAAACAACAAGTTTCCCGCGGTTATGCAGGATTGCTTCGTTGCCGCAGTGGTCTGATTCTCGGAGCAATTGTGGCCGCTTTGTAGTGAATGACAGCCGTTCCCAAATCTAACGCTTTTGAAGCCGCCGAAAATGAGTAACTCAAACAAAACAAACCACTACAGAAATCTTGTTTTTTTTTTTCATAATTAGGAATGAACCCTGTTAGTCAATATTTGACTTTTTAGGCTGAGAGCGGATTTCATGAGCAGATCAAAAGACATAAGGACAGGAGGGCGCATAAATGTTTCCTACCGAAGGGGGGCCTGGCATGAAATAGTTAGAGATTAAAAACAGTTGGAACACAGACAATAACTTTTGACCTGAGATTCTCCAAGTATCGTATTTTTCGCACTGGATTATAAGGCGCATTAATTAATGCTTGTTTACCCGTAAACAAAGGCATGATTAAGTATGAATGTTAATTTTTGCTTTGGTAAGCTTTGGCACTTACAGCAGCTTGCTCACGCAGTAAAAAAATGAATGACGTTAAAATAGGTCAGCACTAAAGGTGGCATTAACTAGTTAAACTAGCAGCACTAATTTAAAAGCTTCAATACTATTGAACCAAACCCAAAAATTACTTTGAGTTCTAACATTAGGCCATTTCCCTATGCAGCCTTGGGTTTATTTATATGGCGTTTATCTAGGCACTCATTGTCAACTTATAAAAGGTACAAAGTTTACAGTTTTTGACACTCATTGAAATGTTGTCTCTACTTGGTACTTCCCTGCGTTGATGAGGAGGTGGTTCCGCTGACGCCCGTCCACAAAGTCCTGTATTACTCCTCGGTAATCTGCGTCATCAGTTGCAGCACATTTTACAACAAATAATACTTTAATGAAGGAAATCACACATTTGACAGCCCATACTATGATGGTTAGAGCTCCACTCTTGTTACTCTGCCTGTTACCTTGTCATTATGCAAAGTATTGTCCCTGGTGTGACTTGAGTATAGTCACACCAGGTATAACCTTCTACTGACTCACATGGCTGTTAAATAGCGTGGGTCTTTTTGCTGTCGAAATTATTAGGTTTATTTGGTCTTGGGTAAAACTAGTTTGCTGTTTTCTTCAGACATGCCAGCTCAGGGTGAAAAGTTGCAATGGGAATGAGGCTATTGATTTAAACTAGGGGTGTCCAAACTAAGGCCCATTGACCAAATGCAGCCTGCTATATTATGTTTTGTGGTCCTCTGCCTTGCTCACTCAAAGGTACTTTATCTGGCCACCAATATAGCCAAGCGGTACCTTGTTGTAAAGCTCAGAACGTTTGGAATCCAGTCATTGACTTTATTTGTGTATACTGACATGTTTTTAATTGTATTACAAAATTCTATATATATGGTGCTAGTGTACTGTAGCATGAATGTGTTAATGTAATGTGAATCAATATGGAATTATCAAACCCCTTTTTAAAGCCCAGATCATTTTCAATCCAGTCAAAACAGTTCTAGAATTCATGTTTACTTTTGAATGCGCTAGAAACTGCAGCAAACCTTAAAGACCTTATGACGGGTTTTTAAAAAAAAATAGTGGATATCAAAATTGCATGACAATGTCAATTTGAAAGAGATTCCGGCAAAAAAAATCCTATATTTTATAAAAAGAACGTGTTTTTCATGAATTTAAGTTGTCTATGCTCTAACCCACATGTGTCAAAGTCAAGGCCCGCGTGCCAAATCCGGCCCGCGAATGAATTTTACCTGGCCCGTTGCCTGCCATTGACGCACTATTACGTCAATTGCGTTTTTCGCTATTTTCATGTTCCCAGATGTCTATTATATCTAATATGTTTGGGGATAAGCTTGAGAGCATATTGAATCGAGCCAGCAGGTGGCAGCAGCGCTCTCTGAATGGTTTGAAAACAGCTAGATGCACTTGTTGTGCCTCTTTTTTTCTCAGCTTTTTGGTGATTTCAGTAAAACTTCCCTCTACTCAACTGGGGATTACAAGCTAGAAACAAAATTCTTTTTGCTGATGAAAGTAGACAGTCTATTCTTTCAGAATCTGGTTTCGGAATTCAGATAGTCATAGTACACAATATTCTGTGGGTCTTGAAAAATCTATAAAAATCATCAGAAACTGCTGGCACTATGGGAGTACCTGTTCTGAAATAGGCTGGCAGGCAATGAGTTAATAAACATTGAACCAGTCCGGCCCTCGGCTTGCAGCAAATTTGTTTTTTTGGCCCTCTGATGTATTTGACTTTGACATGCCTGCTCTAACCTGTGTGTGACGTCATAGCGGGTTACGCCCATGCATTGAAAACCATGGATCTATGCCACAGGACTGCCTTTTCTCTCTTCTCTCCACTGATGCCCAACACAATACTGCCCTCTACAGGTGACAATTGCTCACTACACATAAATTGCCGTTTTGAGTGTGAAAAAATGTCCAAGGTGGGAATTGAACCCAAGTATCTGGATTGGCAGTCCATCGACACAACCACTGGACTATCTCAGTGACAACTAAATGTTACAATCTAGTACTTATGTTAGACTCGCTGTACACGGCCTTGTCATCTTGAATATCCGCAAAAAAAGAACGAATACCAAATTGTAAACAACTTACAGCGTTGAAACGTACCCGTTCTAACGTCACCAAGGGCTGTGAAGTTTTTTCGTTTCTAAGGGCGTTGCTATGGGGTTATTTCGATTTGGGGGGATCAGACAAAAAAAACAACTGATTTTGAAACCTTTAGTAGTTCTCTTCTAATATAAAATGGTATTAAAACTGTATTTCTAAATAAATCAAACCCGTCATAAGGTCTTTAAGTAGCTCTGAAACTGTTGTTTTGTGCTTTACGATTGCTATTTTTTTCTTATTTCTACCTGTAAATGTAGAAACAACTGCAGTGCAGTGTTCATAGTTAAACAATGATCCTAGCGGATGTTCCACCTCTACTGCTGTGACCAGTCCTGCTCCATCCAGTGCCTCACACTCTCTGCTGCTGTGACCAAAAGTAATTCTACCTCTTTTATAATTATCTATTTATTTGTTTTGTTTTGTTTGTATGGATGGATGTGTTTCTGCTGCTACTGGACACATGAACTTCTCCTTCAGGGATCAATAAAGTATATGTATCTATCTATGTTGTTGGGCCCTTAGACAAGTCTGGTTCACTATGTGGGACTCTTACTAAGTCGTTTGGACTCCCCTGATTTAAGCTATTGTGGAATACTGTAGAAAGGATTCTTCTTTGTCTCTGCTTGTCCTTAACCCCCTCGCTCTGTCAGATACGTGGTGTCGCTGTCCGGGGCGTTGGCGGTGGTGAACTCGGTGCCGTGTTTCGCTCTGGACGGACAGTGGATGCTGAACGCCCTGTTGGAGGCTACACTGGTTACCATAGTGACCGACAGGCAGAAACGCGAGCTGATTGGGTTCTTTCTGCTACTAGTCGGGAGTGCATTGCTAGCTGCTAACGTGGCTCTGGGTCTGTGGATGGTCACGGCGAGGTAAATGGAAGGACATCGAGGAGTTCTGTGGGCCATTCTACTGTGATGGTCAACAAAGACGATGTGCTGCCGACCTGTGCGAAGAAGATGAGCTTGGCTTTTTCAAGAACAAACAAGAGAAAAAAGTGGCTTCCATTTTCAAAAACCTGATTTTTCAGATGATGCACTTAAAATAAATAGCTGTTCATGGAACTTTTTATCAATGGACTTTCTACAAACACATGTTGTTAAATAGAACAAGACCCTGTACTGCAAAGCTACTACTCTCATACTCTAAGTCCACTGGTTCTCAAAGAGAGGGCCTGTGCTACACTTAAAATGTGACTCCAGTGGATTTAACACTTTTTCTTTTCAGGCATATTTGAACCGTTTACTAATATGGTTTTATGGGAAATACATAATAAACATACACTTTGGATGTGTTAGGATTAAGTGTATTGGGACTATAACATGATAAAAGCATATTTCAAGTTATAATAATGTGATAAATTAAAGAATTATATGGTATGGTGTAGGTGTTCACAGGTTTCAAACGCCAGATTTTTCTTCCCCTCCCATTTAGCCATACGTTTAAGCCATATACTGTACATATACATATTACTTTGCATTTCTAGTTAATGTTGACATTTCACTATCTAGTTTAGGTTAGGGATCAGGACGGTGAATTTGATTATGGTTATGACTTTTGGAAAGGTCTGCTAGTCCGCTTGTGGCAGATGTGGGTTAGGAAAAATGAATTGTTTATTCTAATTTCCTGAATTAGGAAGTGGTCCCTGAAGTTGTATGAAACAAATTTGAATCAAAGGATATCAAGTATAGTCTTTAAAGGACAGTGTCTCTGGATTACCTGCACTTATCCTGACCTCATTTTAGTTTAAATTTTCTTCAAAGTGAACAAGTAGAACCATACTAAACCTAAAACAGGACCTAAAGAGGTTCACTTTATGGGACCAAATCTGTTTTTCTAGACTCTTTAGAAGCAAATGAATAGAAATAAAAAGAAGTGGTTTGCCCTCTCTCTTCTTAACAAGAAGGTCCTAGGTTCAATTCCACCTGCAGACAAGGCCTTTCTGAGTGGAGTTTGCGTGTTCTTTCTTTGTCTGCATATGCTCCGGTTTTCCCTACCACTGCACAATATACCCCCTCTCTCTGGGGCCAGGACTGCTCTGAAAAAAATATTCTGATATCTCAGGAACTATCCTACTTAGATAATATATCTAAGTAGGATAGTTTATATATATTATTTAAAAATGAGGGAAATGTATTTGTGTAACACATTGCATTGTGGATGTCCCGATCTCGGGATTGTGCTGATATTTCATGATTTTACAGGGAGCATAATGAGAGAAAGCATATTTTTTACGATGCCTCCCAACATTATACTATGAACAAAGGGAGTGTTGTTCATAATGCCCTTGCACTAAACATGCAAGGGCATTATTTTGGTTCATTTATACTAACAAAACCAATTATATTTTTGTTTTTTAAACCTCTTCCATTGTCAGGACAGGGCCTTGTTCTGAAATGTTACCCCAAAAACACCTTCCCTGTTCAACAAGTGAGGTGTTTATCATGTTTGTATCAGCTGCTGAGAAACTTGGGCTTGAGAGGATTCTGCTAAATAAGTGCTTTAATTTCTTGCATGGATCCACTTCAGACGTCAGTATCTGCAGTCGCCACTTCCTGTGATCGATCTGCTCATCTGCATTTTCTGTATTTGTGATTCGCTTGTGTCAGTTCTGTTGTGTTTAAGGCCATGCACTGTCAGGATGTTCACTGAATGAACTGTATTTAATTTCACTGCAACCAAAGTGGCTAATAAAAAGACAGCATCTGAAGGACTTCTACTGAAGTGAGTTTTAAGTTTCCATTCAAATTTGCCTTGATTTCTGTATCCAAATTGATCAGTTTTTTTTAGTAAAGTACTGACACTAGATGGCACTGTTGTATTGGCTCATGATCATTCTTTTGCAGAAGCTTAAAAAAGGACCAATTTGTAACGCAAGCCCCGTTGGTCCAAGATGGTGCCCTATTCGTATTAATTGCTTGGGCTCAGTAGCGCGTGGGACAGCCATGGGGACCGAAAGATTAACGGAACTCGCCCATATTTGGGCATCCTCTGGTCCTCCCGGTTCTGCGCAGTGCACAAGCTCCCATGATGCGTTGCGCCAAATACGCGTGTGTCGCTCTCATGCACGTGCTCAGAAGAGCTCGGCTGCGCTCTTTCCAATCAGAGATGCCAATCAGAGCGGGAAGAAAACAAGCAGAGTTTGTTGCACTAAAGTGTAGATTTAAAGAAAACTGAAGGATTTAAGACGAAAAAAAGTTCAGGATGACAGACACTAAAATCCCCACAAAATCCCCCTTTATGAAAGCTGTAGGTTCTCTGCCGGCTGAGGTCGAGCTGTTTTAGTTTACATTGTGTCCCATGACGGGCGAGACAGCTATAAGCTAGTAATACCCTATCCAGATATTATAATAGATCCATGTTGTAACATCCCCACTTTGGCTTAAAGCTGGGGCACACAATTAGTTTTGATTTGTCTCAACAGAGAGAGTCTTGTAAGATAATCATGTGAACAAATCTGACCACAACACACTGTTATCTGTTGCATACTTGCACGAAAGATCCCTGTGAGTCACTATTTGAAGCTTTGGGCTGAGAGCTGATTGGCTGAGTGAGATGTAAGAGGCCAATCAATGCGTGCAGGTGACAATCAGTGATAGAATCAATGTTTTAAGAGCAAGGAACGAGTTAGATGGATTTTGATTGCAAGATTATCCAACTTTCAAACCACAAACCATTGAACTAATATAAAAGATCAGCAGATAGCAGTAGGATTAATGTATAGGTTTATTTTACATGATCTTCTTTAATATAGTTGTCCATAATGATTGCTGCTGCCCAAGTGTCATTAGCAGTAATCCATTATATGAATCAAATGTAGTATTATAAACCATAATTTTGTACATGGATTTTGAGGTCTAAATGCACCAATCCAACTACACTATTGAGGGTGGGAAATCACTCTTTACAACACATTATAATTGATTAAGTCTCAATTGCCCTACTTCATTGCCACTGTTACCTCATTGCCTTTTTCCTCCTCTCTGTACATGCTGAATTGTGTAAAGATACTGCATTACTTAGAATGTGATAGTTTAATAAAACATGTTTTAATTGATCAAACATATAAAATGTGATTGAAAACACATCACTTTGTTTCGAAATGTAGAGAAAAAAAATCCCACGTTTCACTCATCTTTCTGGATTGAAACAACTAATCAAAAGGATGATTTCGACTGACAACTGGTCATTGATTATCAAAATAGTATGGTTGTGATGGCTCGGAATTCCTTCCTTTCACAGTAACTTTTCTGTTACTATGAACTTAATTAACTATATAAAACTCAACTTTCCCAGTACATTTTTGCATATTTTAACTATACTTTATACATAATAATAAACATTTACACATTTATATATATTCTTTACAATATAATTTCATAACATAACAGATAAATCTAACAGTTTAAATTAGCCCTAAATCTAAACTAAAACTAAACAGCTTTGTGTGTTATGAATGAATTTTAATTGTGCCGTGTGAAAGACAAATCTCTGCTCAATTTAAACATACAATAAATTTCTATTCTATTCTATCTAAAGTGTTAATAAGTGTACCATAACCCACATGGGAAAGTGTCAGTAGTTAAATGTTGAATAAGGTCATGTAGAAAAAGGACTTAATGAATACCAATTAAGAGCCAATTAACCATAAATTATATACTAGTTATCACTTAAATAACTTGATTAGTGAGGGCTAATCTTAAGTGTTACCAAAGAAATGATTATAAATTTATTTGCAGCTGTACAGTAAACATTAGACTCTCTTCTCCTCTGGGGCCGTGTGTGCATCTGGATCTGAATGTCCTGATCTCCGTGGGGTCTTGTGGTTTATTAACATCCCACAGTGGCTGCAGCTGAAGTGGGGGTCCGGAGGCACTGAGGGGTCCAGAGGGTCTCACCACACACGGCAGGACAGCGGCCCCCGGTTCATCACAGAGGACTGCGGACAGCTGAAGGCCTTACTGAACTCCTCGTAGTTACTCATGGCTCCGATCACTCTGTAAGAGTCGTATTGAAATAAACACGTCAATTATAACTAATACGACTGGATCAAACAGTAGCGGGTCTGCTGCTGGTATTGCATTAAGAGTAATCACAGAATGTCAGAATCAGAATCATTTGTATGGCCATGTGAGTAACAAGAAGTCACAGACTAGGACATTTCTTTGACTCGGTGCAACAGTCAAAGAGAGAAGTAAAGAAAAGAGTAAGGGATAATAAAAATCAGCATACACTTCTAATGTAAAAAAAAAATTATTACAATTAAAATTACTACATACAATATACAAGTGCACATGGTGCACAAAATATGCAGCGGTGCAATAAGGTGACAGTTATGATGGGCAGTAAAGTAGCTTTACAGGTTATGAAGTGTTAAAAGCCCTATTCGGACGGGATTAGTATTACCTGTGGACCCCTGGTAATTTGTGATAATCGCGGAGGAAGTCTGAGATCTTGCAGTGCATTCACATGGGATTAGCAATGTCAGTAATTTTCACTGACATCTGACATAACAACCACACGTGCGTGGGTCTCTCAGCTTCACGCAGTCTATAGAAAGTCGTGTCTGACTACAGCAGCCACAAAGACCATGAAGACAAACACTTAAACACTTAAATGTGGCTTTTACTGCTCTACAGTTCTACCGTCGACGTCTGTAATGTTTAACAATACTGTTTGTACGGACTACCCGTGAACGCTCCAGATACTATGCTAACATACGCACAGACCAACAAGCAGTAACGGCTGAATCAACACGTCTGTACTGTATTACCACAGATTGCAAAGTATACGTGTTAGTGTCAGTGAACACATTACACTGTCCTCTACACTTCTCCATTCACCTCACAGGGAAAGCAGCAGCCGCGACTCCGCGTGTTAACTCCTCTGCTCATTGAAAAAAAAAACGACGCAGAGAGTCAAGCGAAAGGTGCAATAGCGATCACAATCACTGACGTGAAGATTCGCACTGGATTAGTATTATCAGAGGACGTCTGTGTTTGGACAAATACAGGAGGTAATTTGCCACGGAATTACTTAAAGCCCTACTGTATTTGGACGGGGTTAGTTTTACATGGGGACCCCTGGTAATTTGTGAGGACGTCTGTGATTTTAGTCCCGTGCGAATGCGCCATGTCTAATTTGTAAAGTAATAATTCCACTGCAAATTACCTCCTGTATTTGTCCAAACACAGACGTCCTCTGATAATACTAATCCCGTGCGAATCTGCATGTCAGTGACTTTCTGCGTTGTTTTTGTCAATGAACAGAGGAGTTGCGTATTGCGGCTATGTACACCTGCAGAGTCCCGGCTGCTGCTGTCCCTGTGAGGTCTATGGAGAAATGTAGAGGACAGTGTAATGTGTTCACTGACACTAAATGATCAGACCGATGGGTTTTGTTTGTATCAGTGGGGGAGGGTCCCAGCTCAAAAGTGGCCAAAACGATGTGCGCTGACATGCTTGCAATACCACCCCGGGCCGATGGGGGTGGACCCAGAAGTAGAATTAGCCAATGCTAACATATAGCATTGGCAGACCTCTCAAAAACGTCTTTACAGGATGGACCAAAAGTTGGCTCTTGGCCCAAAGCTCCGTTCCACATGTGTGTCAATGCTGAGGGGGGTGGATTTTTTTGGTCCACTCTAGTTTACTTGCCCTGAATTTTTTAAGTCTCTCGTTCAAATGAATGGAGTTGCGCCGGCTGACGCATGCGCAGATGCGTTTTTTCACAATTTTCTTGTGGGCGGGACCACTTGCGGTTTGATGTATGGTTGGGGGGTATGTCTTGAAGTGAAATATAATCTGACATTAAGTTTACCCATGTGGAGGTGGGTATGTTGGTTTTGGATTTCCATTTTATGAGTATTGTTTTTTTGGCGATAGCTGGCGACATTAGAAGGTACTTTGATTTACTCTGATTGATGGGGAGTGTGGATGTGTCTCCTAAAAGACAGGGATGGGGACATTGGGATGTTGCAGCCAAGTGAAGTGGTGAGTGATTGAGTGACGGCTTTCCAGAATGCTTGGACCGGAGTGCAGTGCCAAAGAGCGTGATTGTAATTGTCCCTACAACCCTGTGTGCAGTGTGTGCAGATGTCTGAAGTGGATCCCATTTTTGATAATTTGTAACCGGTGTAGTGATATCTGTGTAGGATTTTGAATTGTATGAGTTGGAGGTCGGAGTTGGTGGTTTTTAATTACATATTTTTGCAGATTTGGGACCAGAAGTCGGCACTTTGCACTTGTGATTGTGTATTATCTGATTTGGTGATTATGTTGTATATTTTGGTGTTCAGTTTTTTTGGGGGAATATTTATGAAATCCGCAATTGTATCATGAAGGCCTAGATATATTGTTTGGATGTTGATTTTTTTTTGGATTGCTGATTTTAGTTGTATGTATTCGAGGAAGCATTTACTCCCAATGCCATACTCCTGGGCCAACTGTGTCAGTGGTTTTAAACTTTTATTTGTGAGAATGTGATTGAGGTGAGTTATACCTTTATCTGCCCATGAAGGGAAGTACAGAGGTTTATTATTGCTTGTGAATTCTGGGTTGTGCCAATTTGGGGAGCGGATGGATGGGGCAAGGGGGGTGTTTGTTAAATTGTGAAGTTTCCAAAAGGCTGTCAGAGCTGCTGTCCAATATTGTTGGTATTTTGAAAAGTGGGTATTTCTTTATTGATTGATTAAGGAAGGGTAGGTCTGAGAGATTGATGTTATTGCAAAGTGATTGTTCAGTCCACATCCAGATTGAGTCAGATGTGTTTGAGTGGATCCATTTGTGTATGTACTGTAAATGATTAGCTAATGAATAGTGGTGAAAATTTGGGGCATTGAGACCTCCCTGTAGTTTTGGTTTCTGTAGTGTTGCGAGTTTGATTCGGGGTGGTTTGTTTTTCCAGTAGAATTTGTTAATGGCAGAGTTGAGTGATTTAAACCAGGTTTGAGTGGGTTGAACAGGGGTCATTGGGCCTCATGTATGAAAGTTGCGTAGAAAAGGGTGTATATTTTGGATGTATATTCCATTTACGTAAGATCCGACGTGGCATTTATGAACGTGTGAGATACGCACAGATCTGAGCGTACGCACCTGCGCTGTCGATAAATGCCGCGCTAGAAACCAGCGTATTTATGAAAGTCACGCCTAGAAATATTCAGAAACTGCCTGTTCCATGCCCTGTTTTTGCGACAGGTCAGCAGGAAGTTGGCTACGAAGACTGTTTGGTATGTCCCAGAGCCTGATCAGACCCGCGCAGCGCTCCACGGTGGCGCGTCTTTGCTTGGACCCGCATGAACCAAATGCCATTACGCACTGATTGTAGGTGCATATAACAATCCACACATTTGTGGGAGACTGAGTTTGACATCTTGCACGTTAACTAGCCCTAACATAACATCGTAAAATTGCATATTTGTAATGTGAGAGGTGTGCCTATAATCTTGTCAGAGTGGGAATATGTTTATTTTTGTCCAAATCTTGCATTTCATGCGTGTTTTGGCGTGTTGTAATGAAGGTTGAAATGAGCGTACACATTTACACCACCTCCAGACCTGGCGTATATTTTTTGCGTATTGTACGCTCAGGTCCAGATTGATAAATGCGGAAAAGTGTAAATATTTTGCGTACGCATCATTTACACCCTGATTTGGCCGAACGCAAGTTTCATACATGAGTCCCATTTAGAGTATGTAGTTGATTTTGGGGAGTATTGGCATTCTGACCAAAGAGATTCTGCCTGTGATTGAAATGGGGAGATTCATCCAGTGTTGTAAATCTTCTTCCAATTGTTTGAGTAAGGGGGGGAAGTTGGGAGTGAACAGCTCTGAGAGCCTGGAGGAAACCTTTATTCCCAGGTAAGTGATGTGGTTTGAAGAGAGTGGGACAGGAGGTGTGATGGCTGCAACATCCCAACTGAAAACGCTTTATTGAATGATTCATCCATCCATTAATCCATGACAAATGTCACCTTTACAACATGTTTTTTCCTAATTTAAGGATGTTGTATTTTATGTTTGATTTGTAATACAATCACAATTGACCCACATGATAAAAGTGCTCCAAACCGCTTGACAGTATGTTTCTGTCATGGTTGTTTTCTGCTGCTGTGCTTTGGCTGATAGTTTTTAACAATTTAAAGCTGGGTTACCAAACTTTCATATATAACTAATGAATCCATCTTACTAGTTCCTACCTTTCAAAGCAGATTGTTTCTACTACTTTCACCAGTTTTCACAACTTTGTTTATGAAACCTTTAGTACATCTTTCTTATAAGTATGCAAATATAATATATTTTCTAAAATAATGATCTGATCTGATTTAATCACAGCATCGTATAATTATTGTGTATTATTGTAACAAAATGTAGTATTTATGAATACCCAGCTTTAATAGTATGGCTGCATTGCTCAATCTGGTCATGTAGAAAGATATAGCTCTGTATATTATTGTAGAGTGTAACGGTGACACAGACCTGAACTTGGGAGGACTGTGGGCTCCGTTCTGGATCTGGTCTCTGGCCGCTTCTGTTCTGTAAGCGTTACACCTGACCTGCAACACAACACACATCCCTCCTTATCCTTCTGTCTCTTTCCTTCTCATTGGTCCATAGGGAGCGGGATGACCAATTTACATTTTCCTCCTGCATCGACATGGAACAACTCAGAAAAGGAGGAAGTTCAAATTGAGAAAGGAATCTGCTCCCATGGACGGACAGACTGTAGATCCAGGATTCAGGCTGCACATTCATCTGTCATCATCCTTTGTGTCAAAGTCATACCACTGAATTGTGGATATACAGTACGTTCAATAAGATAAAGATAGTTTTCTTTTTGTCTGATTACTTATCCCATAACTGTGCTCTGGATAAACAGTTGCCCCAGCTTGGTTTAAAGACTGGTAACTAATGCATGTTTATCTGTATTGCACAATTCACATAAAAGGCAACTCAACTACATAACAAGAAAGGAAACATGGAAGTCTACTGTACATACACAAAAATAAAAACCCTTGATGTTAGACTCACATGTGCGTAGCTGAGGAAGAAGAGTTGGTCGTTGGACAGTCCCAGTCCAGGCAGCAGTGACTCCTCCACCCCCCCTCTGCTCTGCTTCACCCAGCGCCTGTACGCCTGCCAGGACACAAACACACACTTATGATCACCAACAGTGGTGCCAAAAAGGTTTCGTGGTGAAGTGAAGGAAGACTCAAAAAGTGGGAATGCAAAAAGGATTTAAAGAAGAGGATTAAATAAATGTCCAAGGTAAAAACAAAACTCAGAAACCAGTAAAACCGACAGACAAAGACAATAACAATAGACCAGAAACAAGGGAAACATGTCACGCCATCACCTGTCACCCCTGACGAAGACAGAAGTATACCGCTGAAACATGTCAGGTATTAGCAGTACTAGCTTCTTTACATTTTTTTGTCTTATTAAAGGAACCTTATAAACTCAATATGTTTTGTTTGTTTCAAGTATGGTAAAAGTGAAATCGGACCGTAACTTTCTGTCATTATTTTTGCAGACATGTATGAGTGTACCCTGTGGGTCACTATTTGACTCTTTGGTGGGGTCCTCTCTTTTTTTACTTTTCTGTCTGAAAAAGCTGGTCCAAAATTGACAAAGGTCAAAACACATGCATGTGGGCCCGTAAAAGGGGAAAGCGCGGAGGCCTGCTCGTGCGTCTTAGGAGGAGAGGAGCGCGCACGGCTCTCCCCGGCATTTTTCTCTCCAACGTACGCTCACTGGGCAATAAGATGGACGAACTCAGCCTGCTCATGAGAAGAAACAAGGACTTCGCCACATCCTGTGTCCTCTGCTTCACTGAGACCTGGCTAAATGAGCGGATCCCGGACTGCGCTCTGGAGCTGCAGGGCTTTGGGCTGTTCCGCGCGGATCGCCATTGTGCGCTCTCAGGGAAGAGCAGAGGCGGAGGGCTGTGTTTCTACGTCAATACAAACTGGTGTAACGATGTGACAGTGATCTCCAAGCACTGCTCTCCTGCTCTGGAATATCTTTTCATTCATTGTAAACCATATTACTCCCCGCGCAAAATTGTTTCATTCATTCTTGCCTCTGTTTACATACCGCCATGCGCGGACGCGCGCGAGGCTCAGCGCGCACTCGCAGAGTGCGCGCTGAGCCTCGGAGAGCAGTTGCAGGCTGAGGCTGAGCCTCGGAGAGCAGTCGCATTCTCTTGCTGCTCCTCGCTTGCTGCTTTTTTATCTCCTTTAATCATTTTTGCTTACATTTTTATTCCACAAAACACGGATTACTCCTTTTTACAAACTTCAACACAAGACTTGTGGAATTTACCTAACTTACAGCATGTCGGGAGGACGGGAAAGAACAAAACTTTGCGACGGCTGTTTTTCACTCAAACAGGAGCTAAAACTTCTTCAAGACCGAATGTTTGTGCTTGAATCAGAATTGGGGCTGAACACAACAATACCAGTGAAAGGAAATAGACCACATGGACAGAACGTAAGTTATGATGACGCTATTTCATTTCCCAAAATCAACAGAGACAATTGTTGGAACACATATGGTGCCAAGCCCAAACAAGGCAAAGCTAATGATAACAAGAGTGTCATAATGCCACAGCAAAAATCTTTAATTACAAGAAACCGCTTTTCACCACTTTTGGAAGATGAATCAGCAGTAGTCTCTACAACAAAGCTGCTAAAAACTGCAGCGCCTCCACCAAGGACAAACTGTGTCCTTATCGGAGATGGCTCGGTGAAAAATGTAAACATGGAGTCCATGCTCACTGTCTCAGTTCACTCTACTAAAGTTGCTGAGATAAGAACTCTCCTGCCTAAAGTGTTATCTGAGAACAGTGGTGTGCGTACATTATTGATCCACACGGGGGCGGTAGATATCTATGAGAAGGCAAGCGAGAAGTTACGAATGGATTTAACGCTGTTACTGGATGACCTCAAGAAAATGGACATAACAATTTTTCTTAGTGGCCCACTGCCAAATATAGATGGAAAAATGGAGAAGTTTAGCCGTCTGTATCAGCTAAACACATTCCTACTCAATGAGTGTTCACGCAGAGGACTTGGCTTCATTGAAAACTTTAATCTGTTCTGGAATAGGCACGAGCTTTTTGAAGAAAAAGGCCCACATCTGAACAACTACGGAGTAAAAGTGCTGATGGATAACTTTGCATCTGCCCTAAGACCTCAGCCTGCGCAGCGCGTGCAGCCGTTGAAAGGGAGAAAGAAGAAGCAAAGGGCACAGACATCACGACCATCTCCACCGACTCCCGAGGTCTCTGCACCCCCACCGCCTCAAAAGAACTCCACACCTCCACGATTCAAGAAGAACTCAACACCTCCAAGGTTCCAAAAGAACTCAACACCTCCACGGCTTCGAAAGAGCTCAACGCCTCCACCCCCAGCATCATCAGCAGCTGCCACATCTTCATCAGCGCCATCAGCATATACAGCACCACCAGCAGCAGTGGATACAGCCGCAGCAGTGGCTGCTCGATCATCTTCAGCAGCAGCAGTGGATACAGCAGCAGCAGTGGCTGCTCCATCATCTTCAGCAGCAGCAGTGGATACAGCCGCAGCAGTGGCTGCTCCATCATCTTCAGCAGCAGCAGTGGCTGCTCCATCATCTTCACCAGCAGCAGTGGATACAGCAGCAGCAGTGGCTGCTCCATCATCTTCAGCAGCACCTTCCCCACCTACAGCTCCCGTGAAGCTTCCCCCATTACTCCAGGCTACAGTCAGGCCTGTACTGGGGGTTCCTCAACCACCTCTGTCTCCACCAAAGACTCCCTCATCACCTTCCATGGACCCGGCTTGGGTCCCCCCCGCTACATCCACTCCATCTAGGGAAAATGAGGACGACCTTTCCCTTTGTTTTCTATCCCCGCCTTCACTACTGGATTTACCGGAACACTCTGCAGGCATGATAAGATCGGCGATGAAGACTATTCCTCTCACACCCACTGTAGCCAGATCAAGAGTCCTATCTAACATTCAAAACTACTCCCCATACGTACCTCCAAAGCCACCTAGGGCGTCCAACTCAAATTCTCCCACAAAATCCACCCGTCCCTCCTCTAACCCCATAAGTATTCCACCCCCCCCTCCTGCTCATTTAGCCCACCTCCCCCCCCCCTAACTCAGCACCAAGAAACCCTCCACCTCCACTCCCCCCTCGTCCACCACCCAACTCAGCCTGCCCCTCCCCTAACCCATCACCAAAAACCCATCCACCTCCCTGCCCCCCTCGTTCAACACCCAAACGCCACCCACCTCTCCATCCTCCTCCCCCGCCTTCCCCTACCCCTCTTTTCTCTAAACACTAGGATGCACAGGGTCTCTGCTTCGCAGCCACTGGCAGTCTAGTTAGAGGAGAGACCCGGCTGGGGCCCTGTCATGAAGCCACCTGTGCCATTCCCTTAGTGATAACACAAAGAATACATTACAGAAAAACATCTGGAGTTAATCAGTCTAATCTGGAAAATCTAATTCTTGTTCCGTGTAAGAATCAGCCGACCGCAACCGCTGATACTGAAACTTTGAAACTTGCTACGCTTAATGTCAGATCTCTTTGTAACAAGTCTTTTTTAATCAATAATTTTATTTGTTCTCATAATCTTGATCTTATGTTCATGGCTGAAACTTGGCTTGACCAAAATTCAGGAAATGCCGTTTTAATAGAAGCATCACCACCAAATTTCAAGTTTGAATCTGAAATACAGGAAAACAAAAAAGGAGGAGGCTTAGCTGCCATTTTTAGAGACCACTTTGTCTCCCATAGAATGTCTCTTGGGAAGTTTTCGTCATTTGAATATGTGTCTTTTAAAATACAACAAAAACAATCTCCTCCAATACTCTTCGTTGTCCTATACAAGCCACCGCAGTCATGTCACAGTTTTATTGATCATTTTACCGAGTTGCTTTCAGTTGTATGCACAGATTTTGATAGTTTGGTTATTACAGGTGATTTTAATATTCATGTGGATAATGTTGATGACAGAAATGCAAATGAGCTGAGTTCTGTACTTGAATCCTTTGATCTCACTCAGCACGTAAGTGGCCCCACCCACAGCAGAGGGCACACTCTAGATCTGTTAGTTACAAAGGGGGTGATTATTTCAAATGTAAACGTGGTCGATGTTGCTCTTTCGGATCATTTCTGTGTTTTTTTTTGACATGTGTTTCACTAACAAACCACCAGTGGACTCTGCAACTGTTCAAAGAAGGCGCATAAATGAAAATACGAGTGAACTATTTATGGAAATGATAAACTTTGAGAATGCATCGTATTCTACTGTAGATGAACTGTTTAACTCTGTCACCTCTAGTGTTTTGAATGTTCTGGATACCGTTGCCCCTGTGAAGGTTAAAATAGTGAAAAATAAGCAGAAGGCGCCGTGGGCTAAAGCAGACTCGGTCAGGGCACAAAAGAGAAAGTGCCGGAGGGCCGAGCGGAAGTGGCGCAAGTCCAACCTCCAGGTAGATTACGAGATCTTCAAAGATAAGTTGTGCGAGTTTAACCGGGTGCTACGTAGTACGAGAGAAAGGTATTTTTCTGAAATGATTGAAGGCTGCAGCAACAATCTGCGTGTTCTGTTCTCAACAGTTAATAGATTAACAAACCCCCCTGTTCAAATGCCATTAGAGCTTACTTCCAAACGTAAATGCAATGAGTTTGCAAATTTTTTCAATGACAAGGTTCAAGGCATCAAAAGCGCCATTGTCTCCAATCCACAGATAACCATCCAACAGCCAGAAAGGCTCTCTGAGCTAACTCACTTTGCACCTGTAAATGATAAAACTGTCCAAGAGATAATCTCCAGTTTGAGCTCCTCCACATGCAGCCTGGATGTACTACCCACTAGATTTCTGAAGTCTGTTCTGAGCAGTCTGTTACCTTCACTCACACAGATAGTAAACATGTCCCTTCATTCTGGAATATTCCCAAAGGCCCTGAAAACTGCAGTCATCAGGCCCCTGCTAAAAAAGAGCAGTCTGGATGCCACTGTACTTAACAACTATCGTCCCATCTCAAATCTGCCATTTATGGGGAAAGTCCTTGAGAAAGTTGTCTACCTACAGCTTACTAGATTTCTTATAATCAACAACTCATTTGATATGTTTCAGTCCGGCTTTAGACCCCACCACAGCACTGAGACTGCTCTCGTCAAGGTTACAAACGATATCCGGCTGAACACTGACGCAGGCAAAGTCTCAATCTTAATCTTGTTAGATCTAAGTGCTGCCTTTGACACCGTCGACCATGAGATCCTCTTACAGAGACTAGAGGACTGGGTTGGCGTCACTGGCACCGCCCTAAGTTGGTTTAGGTCTTACCTTGAAGACAGGAAGTACTTTGTGGAGATTGGAAACTGTGTCTCAGATCATATGGCCCTGACCTGTGGAGTCCCACAGGGGTCGATCCTGGGACCTCTTCTGTTCAATCTCTACATGCTGCCGTTAGGTCAGTTAATACGCAGAAACAAAGTTTCCTATCATAACTATGCAGATGACACTCAGATCTATGTCTCACTGACTGCAGGAGAACATGGACCAGTGGACTCACTCCTTCACTGTATCCAACAGATCAGTGAGTGGATGCAAAACAACTTCCTTCAGCTAAACGCAGACAAAACTGAAATGATTGTCTTTGGTCCCCAGAAACAAAGAGAGAGCGTCATCTGTCACCTACAGTCTCTCTCCCTAAAACCTTCAAACAAGGTCAGAAATCTAGGGGTAATACTGGACTCAGACTTAAATTTTAATAGCCACATCAAATCAGTAACATCAGCAGCTTTTTACCATCTAAAAAACATTGCCAGGATCAAAACATAGTGTCTAAAGCAGACTTGGAGATTCTTATCCATGCATTTGTCTCCAGTAGGTTAGACTACTGCAATGGCCTGCTCACAGGTCTGTCCAAACAGGCTGTAAAACAGCTGCAGTACATTCAAAATGCAGCAGCTCGAGTCCTGACAAGAACCAGGAAGTACGACCACATTAGTCCAGTCCTCAGGTCTCTGCACTGGCTTCCTGTGGCTCAGAGAATAGACTTTAAAACAGCTCTGCTTGTGTACAAGTCTCTCCATAGCCTCGCACCAAAATATATTAGTGACATGTTAGTCCCATATGAACCAGCCCGGACTCTGAGGAGCACAGGGACTGGACTCTTGTTAGTGCCCAGAGTCAGAACTAAACATGGGGAGGCTGCTTTTCAGATTAATGCTGCTAAAATCTGGAACAGTCTTCCTGAAGATGTGAGACAGGCCTCCTCTCTGACAATGTTTAAAACCAGGTTAAAGACGGTTCTGTTTAACTGTGCATACAACTGAGGGATTTTATATTTTTATCTTTCTTTTTAATGTTCTGTGATAATTTATGATTTTAATGCTTTCTTGTTTTGTTCAGCACTTTGAATTGCCTTGTGCATGAATTGTGCTATATAAATAAACTTGCCTTGCCAAGTACTGTGTATGGAACGCTTATACCCGGACTCTCTGATTATTATCCTGGGGGATTTTAATAAGGGAAACTTGAGCCAGGAATTACCCAAATACAGACAGTTTATCAAATGCCCGACCAGAGAGGAGAACACTCTGGATCACTGTTACACCACCGTGCGCGGAGCTTTTCGCGCTGTTCCCAAGCCAGCCCTCGGCTTCTCAGATCACTCCATGATACATCTGGTTCCTGCTTACAGACAGAGACTAAAGCTCTCGAAACCTGCAATGAGGAGCTCCAAAGTGTGGTCTGATGAAGCTGTGGAAGAGCTGCGCGCATGCATGGAATCTACAGACTGGGACCTTTTCAGAGCTGCCACAGATATTTTGGATGAATATACGGACACTGTGACGTCATACATTCACTTCTGTGAGGATAGCATCATTCCAACAAGGACCAGGGTCATCTATAACAACGACAAACCCTGGTTCACTGCTAAACTCCGGCAGCTCAGGAAAGCAAAGGAGTCTGCTTTCAGGGAGGGGGACCGCAGCGGCTACAAAGCAGCTAAATATCAGTTCAGGAGAGAACTGAAAGCAGCCAAGTCCCGGCACAGAGAACGACTACAGGAGCAGTTTGGTAACAACGATACTGCTTCTGTCTGGAGGGGTCTACGGGAGATCACCAACTATAAACCCAAAGCCCCCCCCTGTGCTGACGACCACAAGCTAGCTGACGATCTGAACTTATTTTTCAGTCGCTTTGATGCTGCCCCTGACACCTCTCCCTCCCCCACCCCCCACTACTCTAACGACCCACCCATCAGCCCTGCCCCCAGCCTAACAATAGCCGCTAAAGAGATTAAACAACTCTTCCTGAGGCTGCACCCCCGCAAAGCTCCTGGCCCGGACCACGTGTCTCCGGCCACTCTGAGACACTGCGCCAGTGAGCTTACTCCTGTGTTCACGGACATTTTCAACACCTCTCTGCAGTCCTGCCATGTCCCGGCCTGCTTCAAATCCTCCATCATTGTCCCCGTCCCGAAGAAGCCCAGGATCACAGGACTCAATGACTACAGACCTGTAGCACTTACGTCTGTCGTCATGAAGTCATTTGAACGCCTGGTTCTCTCCCATCTCAAGTCCCTCACCTCCCCCCTCCTGGACCCCCTGCAGTTCGCCTACAGAGCCAACAGATCTGTAGACGATGCCATTAACCTGGCCCTCCACCACATCCTACAGCACCTGGACTCCTCGGGGACCTACGCCAGGGTCCTGTTCGTGGACTTCAGCTCTGCCTTCAACACAATCCTGCCATCCCTGCTCCAGGACAAGCTCTCCCAGCTCAACGTGCCCGATTCCACCTGCAGGTGGATCACTGACTTCCTGACGGACAGGAAGCAGCGAGTGCGTCTGGGGAAGAATGTCTCGGACTCTCGGATTATAAATACAGGAGCCCCACAGGGCTGTGTTCTTTCTCCCCTGCTCTTCTCCCTGTACACCAACCACTGCACCTCCAGCCACGACTCCGTGAAGCTGATCAAGTTCGCGGACGACACCACCCTCATTGGACTCATCTCCAACAACGATGAGTCCGCCTACAGGAGGGAGGTGGACCGGCTGGTGTCCTGGTGCAGTGGTAACAACCTGGAGCTGAACGCCCAGAAGACAGTGGAGATGATTGTGGACTTCAGGAAGAGCACTGTCCCCCCACCCCCACCCTCCGTGATGGACTCCCCCATCACCTCTGTGGAGTCCTTCCGTTTCCTGGGCACCACCATCACCCAGGACCTCAAGTGGGAGCCGACCATCAGCTCCCTCATCAAGAAGGCCCAGCAGAGGATGTACTTCCTGCGGCAGCTCAGGAAAGCCAAGCTGCCTGCACAGATGTTGGTGCAGTTCTACACGGCCATCATCGAGTCCATCCTCACCTCCTCCGTCACCGTGTGGTTCCCTGGAGCCACAGTCAGGGACAAACAGAGACTACAGCGCATTGTGCGCTCTGCAGAGGAAGTGATCGGCCGCAGCCTTCCATCGCTGCAGGACCTGTACGTCGCCCGAGCTCGAGGCCGGGCTGGTCGTATCACAGCCGACCCCTCTCACCCTGCACATGGACTATTCCAACCACTCCCCTCAGGCAGGAGGCTGCGGTCCATCAGGACTAGAACCTCCCGCCACAAGAACAGTTTCTTCCCCTCTGCTGTTGGACTCTTGAACACTTCTTAACCTGTCCCCCCGCCCTTTATAAAGTCACTTTACTGCCCATCATACGTCACTTTACTTCACTGTACTGCTGTCACCTTATATTGTGTGCACCATGTGCACTTGTATATTGTAAATAGTAACTGTAACTCTATTTTAAATTTAAATTTATTCTTTAGAAGTGTTTTTTATTCTTATTTTTATTATTTCTTTTTGACTGTTGCACTGAGCCAAAGCAATTTCCTAGTCTGTGACCTCCTGTTACTTACGTGGCAATAAAAATGATTCTGATTCTGATTCTGATTCTGAAAACTAGTGATGGATTTATTTCTATACTGGTTTGAAAGTTAGAAACCACTAGTATACTAGCGTCGGGTTTTTTGAACTCCATGAACATATTTGTTCAATAGCAATAAGACTTTTATACACAGCAATGATAGACAGCTGTTTGGTAGGCTGATGTTTGCAAAAAGATTCTCAATGATTGTCATAGCATCAAACTGGTACAAAAATATCAACTTAGATCACATTACAACTAGGAATCAAAATAAAAAGTCTTACCCTAAAGGCCTCTCTTACTCCTCCATTATCTGCTATGTTTTCTGCCAGAGTTCTTTTACCGCGAACCTGGAAATGAGGAAAAACCATGTTCATGATAAATACAATTAAATCAGCTGCATTGTTGCTATATTTCCACGAACATGAAGTCCCGCCTCCTCCCAGTGGTAGTCGTTGTATTGGTCGATCATACACTGCGTTTTCTCAGTAAAGGCATTTATGGAAGAGTTGCTCCACCAGTGATCCAGGTTTCCATTTTTGTCATACTTTCTCCCTAAGAATAATCACATAAAGACAACTTGAATTGTTTAGTTTATTAATTTATTTCAACAGGGACAATGTGCAAATACATTAATTAAAGATGCTTTGCACCAGATTTAGCTTGAGCTAATTGTTAAAATAAACCATGAATTTACTTGAAGATGCTCACCGTTATTGTCAAAGCCGTGTGTTAGCTCATGGCCAACAATTACCCCAATGGCTCCATAACTTAACGATCTAAAGTAAAGTAATGCACAAACTTATTCAAATAAAACCATAATATAGGGAGGGAATTATACGTTTGTTTCTTTCCTATAACAAAACTCTAGGCTCACTGTGCTTGGATCAAAATGCTTACCTTGGATACTCATTCCCCCAGAAAAATGGCTTTTGTAATTCTCCAGCAGGAAATCCTAGAGAAAAAAAAGGACAAATATTGATTAAAGTTCAATTCAACTCAACTTATTCTTGTATAGCCCTAAATCACAAGAGTAATCTCGGAGGACTTCAAAAAAATGCCGCCAAAACAGATCAGGGAATCAAACAATTAAAACACAGGAAATGCAATGATAAATTTTAGCCGGAAGCGGTATGGATCCAACGATCCTAGCCACACAAAGGAGTGGCACTGTGCCCCATGTGGATACAGCCCTGATGGGAGAAACACTAATACTGTAAATGCCTTTTTTCAGTGAGTGTGTGTCCATCCATTTTCTTCCACTTCATCCGGGTAGCAGTCTAAGCAGAGACGCCAAGACTACCCCATCCACACACACTTCCTCCAGCTAAAGGCGTTCCCAGGCCAGCCGAGAGAGATTGTCCCTCCGGCATGTCCTGGGTCTTCCCCAGGGCCTGCTCCCTGTGGGACGTGCACGAGACATCTACCCAGGGGGTGTCCAGGAGGCATCCTAGGCACCTCGACTGGTTACTCTCAACAGGGGAAGCACGTGTGACTGAGCTCGTCACCCTATCTCTAACGGAGCGTCCAGCCACTTTGAAGAGGAAGCTCATTTCAACTAGCCTGGCTCTGCCAGACCCTTGTAGTTCCGCCATGCTCCACCAGAGGCGTTTGGCTGAACCACATGGGTCTGGTATCAAGCCCATAGCGAACGCCTTCCCCAGATTATTTTTTAATCGACCAATCAGGATTGCCGGTGTTACGTGGGGTTTGCACTGCCTTCTCAAGCTTCTCTCATGCAGCAGGGAGAGGAATCCAAGATGGCGGACGTAAAGTCTGCGAATCTTTTTAAAAGAGTAAATACGATCTAGTTAAGACACGGATGTCACTTTTAATGCAATTTGAGGCGAGATGTTGATGGTTCTATGTTGATATATGTGTGTTTTAAGAGTCAAATGTTCCTGTAAAGTTTGGTTGAAGCACTGGTTCAGTGTTCCTGTTTACACACTATGCAGCAGGGTTGCCAGGTTTGGTGGTTCCCGCATATTTTTTCCAAGAGACTTGTAGGTATTAAATAAACAAAAAGATAATAAACAGAATCATGATAGCCCAAGTTGATTACATTACATTTTTAGCCAAAAAATCATACTGAGTGTTTTTTTTTTTTTTTTTTTTTGGGTATTATTGTGGATTTTGGGTTTGAAAATCTTGCTGGGATTTGGCAACCTATGGGAGCCGTGTGCTTCGATGTGAGTGGTTGAAAGCAGACTTCATTCAAGATAACGGACAAGTGGTCTATCCAATCACATACAAGGATTCTTTTTACAAGGCCCTGCCTTCTGAAATCCAACCACTATGGCTCAGTACCAGACTCGTGTGAAGTGCAGCGAACTACATGGGTCTGGCGAGAGTCAGGCTACATTTCAACCGCTTGTATCCGCAATCTCATTCATTACCCAAAGCTTATAACCATAAGTGAGGATGGGAGCGAAGATTTCGGCTCAGCTCCCTCTTCACCACAACGGTCCTCTACTGTATTGCTCAATCAGTGACGCTTTTGACGTCAAAGATTGTGCCACGCTACGATTTGAATCAGCTCGTTTCTGTGCCTCTCAAGAAAGAGAAAGATCGCTCTCTAACTAAAGCTTGCAGGAATCAATGAAAAAAACTACACTGGGAATGTGTATGAAGGCCAAATAGCACTGTAATCCTGTTTAAACCAGTGAAAAATCAAAAAGCGTAATATGGGCCCTTTAAAACAGCTCTGCTTGTGTACAAGTCTCTCCATGGCCTCGCACCAGAGTACATTAGTGACATGGACTCTGAGGAGCACAGGGACTGGCCCCCTGTTAGTGCCCAGAGTCAGAACTAAACATGGGCAGGCCGCATTTCAGATTCATGCAGCTAAAATCTAGAACAATCTTCCTTGAGATATGAGACAGGCCTCCTCTCTTACAATGTTTAAAACCAGGTAAAAACAGTTTTGGATCTCTTCAGGAAAGGTCTCATTTTGTAGCTAACGAGTTGGAGAACACGAGCATACCCTGTGTTTGGGTGAAAAACAAAGCTGAAACTCTGCTAACAGTGAAAAAGCAGCCTCTGTGTTCTTTCAGAACGTTTTTTTCGCAAAAGATAATCGCACATTTTTGGATTATCTCTCCAGAATGGATTATACCTTGTAAAATACGAGTTGATATTCTTTTTCCTTGGACATGTACGGAGTGAAAGAGCTATAGGAAGCTGGGAGGAGATCTGATTTACTTATGGAGCATAAGCCCAAAGGTAAAAAACTTATTCAGAAGTGATTTATTTTGTGCCCATGTTATGTGTTATATCTTTTGAATGCAAAATCTGATATAATTTACACTTGTATATAAATTTAGATAAGAAATTAAGCCTTAAAATAACATACCGCTTGTGGGGTTTGCGTTCAAAATACATCTGCTATTGCCAGCCAGTGGCGGCCGGCCAATAGAGGGCGCTAGGGCGCCGCCCCACCACTCACAACTTGCCATGTTACCTTGAATAAAACGTAAAAAAAAAATAATAACATTAAAATATTTCGACATTTATGTGTGTTTTATTTCAGATGTGGAAGAAATACTTTATAGTTTATGCTGAGTTAGATTGATTAAGCTCATCAGCGTTGTCTGTGTCGGACTGAGGACGTATTTCCGCCTCAGGGCGCAAAAGATTGCGCCCTGAGCCGTCTATGGACTCTCGTTAAAAGTTGTACATGCGCAGTAGCTCCTCTTCAATGCAAGAGATAAGACGATTTGGGGGCGCAGGAGAAGTGCGCCCTGAGGGGGCGGGATCGCCCGCGACCTGTACTGTTCACTGTCTGTGACGTCCGTTTACAGTGATTGACAGGTCAAGCTGTGGGAGTTTGAGACGAACGTAAAGAGACGCAAAATGGAGAACGAGAAAAAGAATAATTCAGTTAGATCACTCAAAACAATACCGTTTGAGAGAAGATCATACCAGGAGAAGGTTGAGGTTAAAGAGCTTGGACCTGATCAGCCAAATATTACCATTAGTCAGCAGTCCAGCGACAGGGGGAGACGGTACACTCGTACTTTTTCCAGGACCTGGTTCAGCGCCAAATCTTGGCTAGCAGCATGTAGCGAGGCTAATGCTTTATTTTGCTTTCCATGCCTCTTGTTTCAAACATCAGGATCTGACCCAGCATGGATCAAGACAGGTATGACTGATCTGAAGCACTTTTTAGAAAAGGCAAAGAAGCATGAGCAGACTGGTATCCACATGCAAAATGCCCTCAAATTAGCTATGTTTGGGAAGATAAATATTTCATCCCAGCTGGATGAAAGCTACAGGGTAGGGATCAGAAAGCACAATGAGGAGGTTGACAAGAATAGGCACATCCTATCAAAAATTCTCGTGTGAGGCTTCAGTCACAACAGTCAGTGTAAACTTACTTACTGCTGGTATATATCTAGTCATCATATTCATAGCCCCCCCAGTAGAAAATTCCACCAGCCGCCACTGTTGCCAGCAGAATATTTTAAAACTAAAAATCGCCTGTGGGTGGGCGGGTGGGTGTTAAGAGGCTACACATTGTGCCTCCTGTTGTTTTAACACTGTCTTTCGGTACATGTGGTTTGCGATGTTGACAGTTTGCTGTATGACGTATGTTTGACTTGATCTCATTTGATTAAATATTAGGCAAGCGTTAATGTGCTTACACACTGGACTCGGCTTAGTTAGCACTTGCTTCTCAGCATGAAAGGTCCTGAGTTTAAATCACTGTTCGAACAAGGCCTTTATAAATGGAGTTTCTAAGTGGCGTTTGCTTTCTCCCTGAGTATCTGCGTAGGTTTCCTCCGGGTGCTCTGGTTTCCCCTACCACTAAAAACACAAAAAGTGTGAATGGATGGTGTTGGTTGGAGGCTTTTATGTACTGTAAGTGTCTTCGGAATAAGATGAGATAAGATAGATTGAAACAAAATTAAGTAAATTGATCACCTCTAAGTTATAGTTTTGCTTTGAAAGGACACACAAATGTGTGTCAATCACTTCAAAGTCATAGTTTTGCTTTCTGTCAATTAACTCATTGCATGCCAGCCTATTAAGTTTCTGATGATTTTTTATTGATTTTTCAAGTCCCACAGAATATTGTGTAAATCCGAAAGCAGATTCTCCTTGTTTCGTTCCCCTGTAATCCCCAGTTGAGTTGAGGGAAGTTTTATTGAAATCACCAGCCTCAGACAAAAAGCTGAGAAAAAAGAGGCACAAGTGCATCTTGTTTTCAAAACATCCAGACGCAGCGTTGCTGCTACCTGCTGGCTCAATAAAATATGGTCTAAAGCTGATCCCCATAAATATTAGATACAATAGACATCTGGGAACAGGAAAATAGCGGAAAATGTTACTTTGACGTATTTGTGCGTCAATGCCAGTGTTGGGCACGTTACTTTGAAAAAGTAATTAGTTATAGTTACTGGTTACTTCTCCCAAAAAGTAACTGAGTTACTAACGGAGTTACTCCACTATAAAAGTAACTAGTTACCAGTAAAAGTAACTATTGCGTTACTTTTTCGTTTTGTTCTGGAACAGACGTGCGCATTTTCTACCTTTCGACGTGCGCATTTCTACCTTTAACCTCAGTGAGTTTGAAATAGTGCCAATATTTCCATCTAGAACCTGTTCTACGTCATGGTGCTACGTCCCTTAGCGGACTTCGCTAGTGGGATATCACGTGACCCCCAGGTCACACGCCAGAGAGATCAAAATAATTTGCTCCAATCACTAGCGACCACCCTCTATAAAGGCCGCACCCCCTCTTTCACTCTGGCGCCGATTGAGAGGTTGCCCTAGGGGTCGGCAACCTAGGGCACGCGTGCCACATGTAGTGATGGCAATATGAAGCCCCATGAAGCCTTGAGGGATTGCAGCCTATTACTCGGCCCATGAGTCGAAGGCTCGAGGTGAATCATGCTCCACTACGCCATCATGTGGACAAAGAAAGACATAACACTCTTAAGTGCTTACAATGAA